TCTTCCCACCAGAGCCATCAGCCATAGAGCAGTTGTGACTTGTGGTGGTTGAGTCCAGAGAGGGGGCACTGGAGGGTGGCAGGCGGATTATATCAAAAGAATCCAAACCGTATTCCCAAGAAATGGTACTGAACCAAAGGCAGAACGCATCGCTGGGAAGACCAGACGGAGAATGGCAGAGCTGCCCTCACAAAGACAAAACGACCAACTTGCTCACCTCAATGGCCTGTTGCAATTTAAATATGTAAGATGCTCAAAGGGACCCTTTGGTCCACACAGTTCCGGAGGCTGGCTGGTGATATGGCCCAGACTGTGTAACCTGGCTCAGACATAAGAGAAGACAGATGATGATGATGATCTCTTAGAATCACCACCACCAGAAAGAAGACCCTGAAGAGGAAGCATGAGGTGCAGTGCCCCCAAAGGATGGTACCTTGGGGCAAAGAGGCAAGATGGACACAGGACGAGGGCCGCCCCACTAGGTCAGGCAACACTGGGTGGAAGGAGCTCCGAGAATAGTGGGTAGTTAATCCCTCCTGCCAGGGCTCAGCCAACATGACCTCCGAGGTATTCTGCATTCAATGTACTGAGGCAAGTGACCCACCGCCCCATCTTGGGAGGAGCCATGATGCCAACAACTATCAGGTGCAGCCAGAGAGAGCAATGGGGTGGGGGAGGATCTCATAAGAATGACTCTGTCCCTTAGAGCTACGGCAGAGGAACAGATGTTTCTGATGAACTTACACTACGGGGCCCTATACGAAGGATCTCTGCCCTTCTCTATGTCACTGTATAAACCACCTAAAATCCAAGCTGATGGGAGAGGTGAGAAAGAAGAAGCATTTCCCACAAAAAAGAACTGGTACCTGGGAGTTTACTTGCAGTTCACCATCTCAGTTCCACCAACCGGGGCTGAGTCTGAGAGATTATAACTTTCCAACGAGTGATGGATTGGGCGAGAGCTACCAGACCAGGCATGACCTGAGCCACCCTCTGGCGTTATAAAAGCCCCTTTGGGGAAAGAGGGGGAAAGTCTGAGAGGTGAAATGACTTGCACGATGCAAATTAGTGGGGGAAGCAAGACGCAAGACCAGAGCCCAAATCTTCCGGCTTCCAGTTCAAGGCTACTGGATGCCTCTCACCACCCCAAACTAATTAAGAAAGGGCAGGGGAGGGCGGACAAGAAGGACTTCTATTCCGGTCTTTGCGGGGAGGCAGGGTCGGGCGGATGCCGCTACCTCTGTGAGGGAAAACCCCGGGTGACCCCAGGCTAGTCAGGATGTGCCGGGGGAGGGAGCATCCGTTACCTTTCAACACCAGAGGCTCCTTGCCTTCCCTCCTCAGGGACTCGAGGACTATGTGCAGTGGCTGGGAAGGCGTCACCCGGCTCGGCTCATTGGTATTCTCGTCATAAACGATAATTTCTTTGGAAAAGATCCTCTTGAAAGAGTCCTTGCCTTCCCGACAGGAGATCAAGTCTAAGACGGTGATTTTGCCCTGCTGGAGCCTCCGCCGGCTGATCTTGTCGGCGCAGTTAATGTGGACGGCTCCCTGGATGTGGCTCTTGTTGTACTCCATGAAGGGCCTGCAGTCGATGATGACGGGGCCCTGGCTGGCCAGGTGACTCTTGCCGCAGCGGGTCATCTTCTTGGCCAGGTCGTTGGGGTAGATGATTTTGATGCTGGCCAGCGGCTTGGGGGTCCCGGCCGCAGGGCTGCCCACCCCACCGGACGGACTCAGAGAGCCTGCGTTGTCATTGTTGTTGACCATCTGGGTGGCGGGGCAGGTGCCGGAGGAGCCGATGGCAGTGGTGGCGGAGCCGGCGGCAACGGCTGGGGTCGGGGCCTGGGTGTCCTTGTCGTAGGTGGCCACAGTGCAGCAGCTGGCACTGCTGCATCCACAATTCAGGGAGCGGGCAGAGCCGCTGGATGAGGGCATATACGTCAGGTTCGCAGCCTTGAGGGACACGACGGTGGTGGCGATGACCGGAGGGTGGCCGTGACCGCCCGGGGCGGCGGGGCCCAGGTAGCTCGCGTCTAAACAAAGGTTGAGATCCTGAGGCCGGACGGGCCTGGACAGTGCCACTAGTACCCTGTCGTCTAAAGGAGACGGAGGCATGAGGAGGCCGAACACTGGCAATTCAAGAAGAACTCAAGACAGTCTGTAAAGAAGGGGAGGGAGGGGAAAGAAAGCATGAAGTCACGTGACCCACAAGGCCGCCCTGTCCAATCCCTAGGAGAGGCCACTGCATCCCTCGGAGCAACGTGGTCCTGAATCCCCTTCATCACGCTGCTCCTGAAGCTGGAGACTCGTGGTGACAGGGTCAACAGGGATGCCGACCTGAGGACGCCCAGGTATTTGGTCCCTGAATCTGAGGTTAAATGTATCGCCTGTGCACACGCTGATAAACAGCGTTTCTCGGACCTACGTCGATGTCCACCCTCAGAGAAGGTAAAGGCACAAAGATACCAAACTCTGGAGTCAGAAAGGAAGGCGCTGCAGAGGTCTCTATTCGGGGCCTCGTCTCCCGGGCAGCGCTAGAGCGCCACTATCTGAGAAAGACGCACCTGCCCACCCCTGCTCACTTCCCATGTAATTCCCTACCCTCTGCAAAGGCGGAGGAATGGCCAGGGCTCGGGCCGGCTCACAGAAATACACCGCGGCTAAATATACATCGGGGCGGATGTCAACTTCCCCGCACATCGGACTGAAAGTATCCCCCTAAGTGCATCTCTTGAGCTGGGAGCTATTCTTGCCTTCCATTCGGCTGAGCCCTCTGAAAAGCACACACAATCCTATTAAGCCCG